GCTGAGAAACTCTGCTCTAACATTCCCCAAGACTTTTTTTTGTTCTCTTATTCATGTTTAAAGCTTAAGTAGGCCTCAAAACATACCAGCATTCTTCCAATAGCAACTGCCCATTCTAATTAGAATAGAAAGATCCTTCCCTCTTCTCAGCTCCCCTTAAAATTATTCTAGTTCTCAGTGCAGGAGTCAAATGGAAGCCAGCCTCAAACCTAACCTTTGGCACTAGCAGCATGTGCAAAGTACTTATTTCAGTTACAACTGAGTGTGCTGTGTCTTCTGCTAGGTTTGACACCCCTTCCAAAGGGAAGTATTCCTCAGTACTTAGAAAACCATAGAATCATAAAAAAATTAGGGTTAGAAGGGACTTCAGGAGGTCATCTAGTCCAACCCCCTGCTCAAAGCAGAGCCATCCCCAACTAGATCATCCCAGCCAGGACTTTGTCAAACCAGGTCTTAAATACCTTCAAGGATGGAGAGTCCACCACCTCTCTGGGTAACCTGTTCCAGTGTTTTACTACCCTCCTAGTAAGAAAGTTCTTCCTAATCCAGGCAACCCCTGCTTAACGCTGTTTCGCTTAGTGCTATTTCGCTATAACACTCATTTTAAATTGATACATGATTTCACTTGGCGCTCAGCGAGTTTCGTTATAACATTCACAGTCACTATCTTGGATCATTAAAAACAACTGCGGTCGCCATCTTGGGTCATCAAATACTTTTGGTTTCACTTAACACTCGGTTTTTCAGGAACCAATTAAGAACGCTAAGCGGGGGTTGCCTTATCTAACCTAAACTTTCCTTCCTGCAACTTAAGACCATTGGTCCTTGTTCTGTCATCTGTTACCATGGAGAACAGTCTAGCTCCATCCTCTTTCGAACCCCCTTCACGTAGTTAAAGGCTGCTATGAAATCCCCTCTCAGTCTTCTCTTCTCTAGACTAAATAAGCCAGTTCCCTCAGCCCATGAACAGTGCATGCCCCCAGCAGCTGGCAAGGCACGGCTGTGCCAGCTGCGGCAGGAGCACAGTGGCCGTGGCAGGAGCCCAGCAGCAGCGAGCCAGCCTGCTCCTGCAGATGCCGCCGGCACTGTCACAGGAGTGGGGGGAGCACCAGCCAGCTGGCAGCAGGGACAGGAAGAGAGAACCTGTGAGTTGCCACCCGCTCCTGCTAATCCTAGCTGAGCCCAGCTCTCTGCAGCCAAGAACAAAGGAGGAAGCAGGGGAGGGTTTGTGGGAAGAGGAAGGGGAAGTTCTGCTAAACGCCAGAAAGGGGCTGTACCCACTATGGGAATTCAAGAGCAGTCCCTAGCTGCTGCTGCATATACCACCACCACCACCACCATGGGGCTGCTTCTGCTACTGTGATACAAATTCTGCAAGGGTGAGGAAATTGCTCTGGCATCCTTAAGTCAATGCCTTGGGGCTGGTGCTGTGCTTGCCCCTCTTACTCTACAGGTCCACCCTTCCTGCACCTGCTCCCTGCCTGCCCCCCATGCCCCAGCCCTCCTCTCCTCCAGTCAGACGTGAGTTCCTACCCAGAGTCTTCAGGGGATCCAGGCATTCAGGTGCACAGAGCGCAAGGGAGGTGGTAACTAGGCTACTGTACACCCCTCCCACCCTTCCCCAGATCTGCCCTTGTAGGTGAACAAACCAGCATTACAAAAGAATTAAGGATAAGCTTTTACTATTGGATTCACATACAGAGAAGAACTCTCAGTTGCAGCTCTCTTACCTTGGGTGCACCCTGTCTGGCCCCATGGACTTGTACACATCCAGCTTTTCTAAACAGTCCCTAACCTGTTCTTGCACTACTGTTGGCTGCTCACCTCCTCCCCAAACTGTGCTGCCTGGTGCAGTAGTCTGGGAGCTGACCTTGCCTGTGAAGATGGAAGCAAAAAAGGCATTGAGTACTTCAGCCTTTTCTGCATCCTCTGTCACTAGGTTGCCACTTTCCCTGATCCCTTTCTTGCTACTAACATACTTGTAGACACCTTTCTTGTTACCTTTCACATCCCTCACAAGCTGCAACTCCAATTGCGCTTTGGTCTTCCTTACTTCATCCCTGCATGCCTGAGCAATACTCCTATAATCCTCCTTGTTTGTCCAAGTTTCCACTTCGTATAAGCTTCCTTCTTGTGACTTCGTTTACTGAAGAGTTCTCTGCTAAGCCAAGCTAGTCTTCTGCCATACTTGCTAGTCTTCTTGTGCATCAAGATGGTTTGTTCCTGCACTCGCAGTAAGGCTTCTTTAAAGTACAGCCAGCTCTCCTTGACTTTTCTCCCTTTCAGACTGGCTTCCCAGGGGATCCTGGCCACGAGTTCCCTGAGTGAGTCAGAGTCTCCTTTTCCAAAGTCCAGGGTCCTTACTCTGCTACTCTCCATCCTTCCTTTCCTGAGGATCCGCAACTCAATCATCTTGTGGTCACTGCTGCCTAAGTTGCCATCTACTAGTATATTCCCCACCGATTCTCCCCTGTTTGTGAGCAGCAGGTCAAGAAGAGCCTGGCCCCTATTTGGCTGCTCCAGCACTTGCACTAGTTAGTTGTCCCAACACTCTCCAAAAACTTCCTGGATTGCCTGCACACTGCTGTATTGCCCTCCCAGCAGATGTCAGGATGATTGAAGTCCCACATGAGAACCAGGGTCTGTGAGCAGGAAACTTCCACTAACTGTTTGAAGAAAGCCTCACCCACCACTTCCTCCTGGTCTGGTTGTCTATAGCAGATCCCCACCATGACATCTCTCAACTTCCGTAACAGCAGAAATGTGTTCAGTTATTGGTTAACAACTTTAAGTTGGCAAGCAGCGGGTGCAACTCTGGAATTCACTACTGTTGGAGGACTATTACAGCTTGTGTTGTGTTGTTAAACTCCCAAAGTTTAAATACTTCGTTTACTGGACAGATGGACTAATCTGAATTGTGCACCAGGCTTGCCTTCCCTATAGACCTCCAAAGGCTCACAATAACTCATAATTAGTGAACAAGTCTTCTAGGCCTTCAGAAGATACAGGAATGACAAAAATTCAGGGTCAAAAGGAGAAAAGTGGTCAAGGAAACTACCCGAGTAGCTGAAGACCACTGGAGTTCATGAGCTTTTAAGAATGCATGATTCAGGCATACCCTTAACAAAGCATACAGCTGGGGCCTTAATAGATTCCACACAGACAGACAGTGAGTGAAGGGCTAATCAAAGGAGATGCAGTATATTACAGTGAGAACACATGCAAGAATGGTAATACTACTTCAGTGCAATGCTAACTCTTAAAAAGCTGAAATTCAAGTCTAAAAAAAGCACATTATCTCTTCAATATATAAAAACATGCAGAATGTGACTGTTGTGAGTGCTACTAGCCAGACAATTAGAACTTGTTATTTCTGTTCCAAGTAGTTTTGGGATGCTTTTTACATCCGTTATCTAAATGAAGTCTGGCATTTACATTCGTTTTATTATTTTATTCACAACTATTTAGATTTGACTACTTACCAGTAACTGGAACTCAAGCATATATTGCCTCTGCATATAAATATTTAGGAATATGCAATGGACCAGAGATCGTTCCCATTGGAACATGAGAAGTCAGTTTCAAAGAATTAGATGTTACTACGAAAAAGAAAAAAAAGCACACAAACAAACAAGTGACAGCTTCTATATTAGAGTCATAGCAAAGGACTAAAAAAAGCAGACAATTTAGAACTGCAGTATTGCAAATTTTAATTTAATGAATAGAGCACTTATTAAAATTTAATATTAAGCTTAATTATATAATGGAAAATAAAAATGATAGAGGACTTCATGTATAAAGTTAAGTACAGTACACAAAAATCAGATACAGTACCCTCTCTGTAGCTGCAGAGCCTACCTTGAAGAATATACTTCATCAGATGCAAGACTTGCTGATCAAGTAGGCTGGTGCTTATGAAAAGTTCATGTCTCTGAACCAGTTAATCTCTAACGTACTCCCATGCCTTACCTTCTGCCATACTCATCCCAGGAAAACAAATTAGAAGTAGCTAAGAAAGCTGTGTCCTACACTTGTTATTAGTAATGTACAGTCTGAATCGCTCCTAGAAAACTAGCATCCAGACACTTGAAATATAGTATTAACTTTAGACTGACACTGCTAACCGTATTTGTGACACATGTACATTGTTAACTTGCTGCTTATACCCAAAGGGATGAATGCAAACAGTTAAGATGCATGGAGTTTCTTCAGGCTTTTCAAAAAAGAACAGGAAAACTTGTTCTTAATAAGCTTGTTCCTGCAGCCCCTGTACTTCTAACCTGAATACTTGTTTTCTTATCCAATTACAAGAACAAGCACCTGTTTACACATAGATCTGGAAAAGCTAATACAAAGCCAGTTATGCCCATAATGTTTCTAGAAACAGACTTATGTAATACTCACCCAACAGTACTGACCTGCAGAACACTGCTTGGAAGATTTTCCAATAATACTTCCAAAACACCATACACATCCATCTGCTTCAGCCATACGTTTAAAAATTGCTAGCTCTACTGTAAGAGATTATGAAAAGTTTTCTCCTGCATTCTCTGAACTAGAGTCCAAAGTCTTAAAGTTATATTATTGCCTCATTTACACTGTCTCCTGGAGACAGATGTCTCATACTGTATAGAAAGACATTTTGCTAGCTGTGATAAACAAGAAAAGTTAGCAAAACAATTGTTTGATGCCTTGACTACTGTTGTCATATTTCCCTCCCCATCCCTGTTCCTCAATAGTGATGCCTCTCTCTATTAATAGCTAAACAAGCCACACTTATGGGATAATCAATGTATCCTTTTGAGGTAAATGTGGATGGCTACAAAAAAGAATTAATGCTTATTCCATTAAGTAGTGAGTTATATGACCATTTGACATTTTTTTCCATTAAACTATTGATTCTGTTTTAAACTAGATACTGGCTAGTTATTTACGTGCCTTACAACTCTCTTGTTCAAATCCCTTGAAAATAAAATATTACAAAATCCAAACAGAAGCAGTTTAATTTTCCATATTTATTATGAATCACATTCACAAATGCAAGACAAAAGTTACATATAAAAGCTGTACAGTAAGTATACAAAAACTGCATGAAGCTTGTACCGAAACACAATACATACAGAAATTGATGAGAGCTTATTTTATTATTAGGAAGGCATCTTATTCCTAAATTATTAGCAGGAGTTTAATGAAGACAGTAAATGAACTTCATTTGCTATTTAAACTTTTTATACAGGAAAAAAAAACATCTACACACTGCCTTGATGGTGATACCTATTACAGCCAATGTATAAAACAGCACTTTTCTAAAGTTATAAAAAGTTTCCCAATGTTTCAAGCCTAAAGTTAAGCCTCCATAGGGTCAATTTCAAGTAGAAATTATTCAGGTACATAACCAAAAATATTCAGCCTGATCTGAAAGTAGGAAGTGCTGTGGACAAGATACAAAAATAAAAAGAACTAAATCCTCATTTACATACTGCATGCCCATACTTACAGGTCACAAAGGGTTTGAGGAGAATTTACAAAAAGTTACATAAAGACTTTTGAAATGTACTGGGTGGATTTCTAAAGTGTAGTGCTGAGGTTAGGGAGACAGATACATTTGTAGAAATTCTGAACACATAACAAACACAACTTACTACAGTAATAGGTTTTTCCCTCCCACCTCACAGTCCCTCCAGAACTCCCATATTAATATAGCTTTGTGTTAGTAGGTGCTCTCCTGCATTAGAGACAAACCAACATTTGAAAAATCTGATCTTCAGCACATGTAATGTTTTGCAAAGCAGTAAAAAATAATAATAATACAAAATAAAAACTACTACTATGGAGATGGAGCAAGTGTTTTTCCTTTCAATCTTTAAGGGCACATTATCTGTATTAATTTAGATCCAGGGCATGCCACAGCAAACATTGCAGGGTTCAGGACCCAAAAATTGCACCAACTCTCTACACCAACTAAGGAAAACAGTAAACACTCTTGCTTTTTTTCCCTTGGGATCGGTCTGTGCAAGTATAATATCTCATTAAGCAATCTTTGGCATACAGAAGCTGAGGCAGCAGAGACCCACTATCCCAAACAATTACTTTTAGTCCAACTATCAAAGTCTTTTTGAAACAGTTTGGTCATCTAGCAATGAGATTTTCTTTTTTATAAAGTTGGCACACAACACTGTGGCTCGCTGGTGCATGTATTTGCTTTTAAAACGTTGTGGTTTTGCATCCCTGCACACAATATTAGTGCAATAATTTATACCACATGCGACTCAGAGGGCATGTGAAACCCCAATGTGAATCTGAATCTTGCAGATCTTCAAGACCCAATATTCTAGAAGCCACCACCATGCCTGAGGTGTGTCCACATTCATCAAGGTTTACTACATTGCAGAAAGCATCACCTGATCTGCTACAGACCTCATACGCTTTCTTGGTCTGTTTCTAGAAACAATCCAATATTAGTTAAAAGTGTAAAACTACCTACAACTAATAATTCAGTGATGCTTCTCCTTGTACCTATGATTCTGCTGTAAGCATACAAAGAATGCTACTTTAAACCACTTCCCCTACTCTAGGCTGTTCTACAGTCCCAGTAATTGACTACAGAAGCTGCCAGAAATCCATTATAGTAATTGGGATACAAGGAAAAGCAGTAATCTCCCCTCCCATGTGATCCAAGAATTACTTTAACTCCTCTAGATAATGTCTCCAGTGGACACCAAGTACCTGCATCTCAGCTCCAAGACTCATGTTCTAGAATATAAAAGATCAGGTTTTGCAAAATCTACCATACTACTGGTTAGTCCACTTGGTATACAGCGCTGGAACATTGTTTCCATATACAATTATATAAAGAAAAGACTGGAGCAAAGCACACTTCAAAGAGAAAGTTCCAGATTAAAACCCCAAATAAGATCAGCAACTACTTTTTCCTGATTAAGACAAAATTTAACATGGGGGCATGGAAAATATGTAAACTCTACAGTTTATAATGCACCATTTACATACATTATTTGCAATAATGTGTTTTAGTTAAGTTCCATTTAACAATATATCACATTTGGTTCTACATTACATCTACATATTAAAAACCATACAAGTAGAAGATGATTTACAAGGAATGCTCATGTGTCAATATAAAGTTCCAGTTAAGAATCACTTAGAAAAAACAAACAAACAAAAACTCCACATGAATTACTAGAAAACTGTTGCTTCTGACATTGTTTGCAGGTACTAAATGTACATGTGAAACTACATTCTTTACTGTAATTCATGTTACAGTATTGAAATTTACCAATTCTTGTATAAAAACATGCAATACCAAAAAAAAAAAAATCAAATTAGGAAAACCTTGCTACTGATGCAGTGTTATAGTTAAATGACATCCAAGCAGCGAGACGGGTTGGATAGTATACTTCACATTCCCATCTGCATGTCAGCAAAGTTGTAGAAGTTGTCTACATCTCGAGAAGCTGATGTCTTGTCCTCTGATACAAAAATCTATTTTTTTTAAATAAGGAAAGGTTACATGTCAGCAGCACAGGCACAACACAAATCATATCTGCCTATTTAAGATTCCTCTATTACAGATATTTTTATTTCTAGATATTTCATATAAACAGTTTCCTTTAAAAATATAATTCTACAAGTTAGAATCCAGAATATGTTCCTGAAAGTGGCCAAAGATTAGCACTGTAAGCAAAAGATAGGCACTCAACTTATTTCTCCTCTCTTGTTGTCCTTCTTTCAGAAAGTCCTTTCTAAAATTAAGCTAGGGCCCACCACTTTAGCTATCATCCAGGAAGAAGAAAACATATCTGGTATGCTCAGAAGCTCAGCCAGAGCAAAGTAATTTTTTCTGACACCTCCTCAAGCTTTTCTTTCTTTCTTTCTTTTTTAAAGCTACATAGGCTGTTCTTGTTCTTCTATCTGCCCTCCTACTGCTATATTTTTAAAACTCGAGTACCTCTTCCTCAGCAGAAGGTGCCTTCTTGCCAAATATTTCAGTTTATTAATATTCAGGCTTTGCAAAAACTGAATTAAAGTTTCCAACACCAGGGCACAGGTCCCTGGAAAAGAAAAAATAAACTCCTCCAGCAAATTAGCTACACTAGCTACATTCAATGACAGACAGCTGTACAAAGGTCCTTCAGTATTCTGACCTGTTTGAACATCAAGGAAGGCTTAGCAAGCCATGTGTGCCCTTAAAAAGCAAGCATCTCTTAATTAAGACCAGAGTTGAAAGTTTATCCCCTAGACTTTACACAAAGCAATTGTGTGGGCTATCCTAACAGGAATGTCAGTTGCTCTCTAACATATTAGAAATTGAGTATTCTGGATGATCACATACATGTAGTTCTTACTCTTCAGGATTAGCTTGAACTAGCCATATACAAAATCCAGCTAACCTCCATCTCAAGCCCAATTTAGTCTCAGTTTTGACAAGCAACTGTTTATTCCCTTGTGCAAATGCCTCCTTTGTTCTGAGGCCATTCCTGTCAGCTCAAGCTACTTGATCCAGCTGTCCACCCCACAGCATACTGGAACTTTATCATTTCTTAGAGCCCTGTGAAATCCATATATTTCAACAAATCTAATGATCGGTGTAATACAGTTTGACTATAAACACAATGGCTTCTCAACACCTTTCTCCAAAAATCTGTCCTCCCAGAATAACCAAGGTTTTGGGGTTATTTCCCCTCAAAAACCCTGTATAAGCCTGTACCTGTATAAGCTAAAATAGAGGACTGAGGGACCACATCACTCCAACTGCAGAACTCTTGAACAGACATCCTTAAAAGAAACACTGAACCCAACAAATTAAACCAGAACTGCCACATCCTTAGGTATGCTTTGCCAAGCTCACATAGGAGGCCAGCAGTAGAGAGAAATGAATGCAGTGCTCCTTTAACCACTGAAATAAGGAAAGAGAAATTTGAAAAAAGAAAATAAATACAAACCATCAATGTGCCAGAAGTGAAAATCTCAGTTTAAGTCATACCACTTACTTTCACCAAATCCTAATACAAGATTTGCCTTTGCAGCTGTGGAAGGGCTTCCTCACCCCTATGCTACAGTATTTTGAGTGATTGATCAAGCACTTTTCATGTGGTAAAAAATTAGTTATTCAAGGTGACTTAAAACTGTCAATCCAACAGCAACTCTTCAGAGGATAAAATAGGCTGGTTAGAATTTGAGCTCTCTTCATGATACCAAACCTATTTCTGGAGCATATGAAGCTTCTTTATAAAGTTTGTATCTTTCTCAGGGATATGCATGATGGGATGTCTCAACTAATTTGTGTCCCTCTTGGCTAATGAAAGCTAATGATGAAGTGCTGAAGCCTTTTTTTGGAGTTTATTATTAATACTTCCTTGTAGGAAGAAACTGCTACTTGGTTAGCTCCCAAGGTAAAAGACCAGCAAATTGTAGTTCTACTAATAATATAACCTAAATAGTGAAAAAAATTCCATTTGATTCCAGTAATGAGTACACTGTTTCAGCTTTAGAAGCAGGAACTGCAGTCCAGAATAAGAAACTGGGAATACCCAAGAACCAGCAGCCTCAGTTAAAAAAAGGGGGTGGGAGGGGGAACAGGTACTGACACCATTGCTCAAAAAACTGTATCTACAAGTAAGCGTAACAGACTCTCCTTTCAGGGTAAGATCAGTAAGACTGGAGAGCATGAATCTAATAGAACTGCACATCCCCCGTATCAATGATCCAAGTCTATTGTGGTTTTTGGCTTGGCTACGGTACCAATACTTGCTAATTAATCTGTTAGCAATGGATGAAGTGGTCTTGCACCTACAGTAGGATGGCACCTTCCCATGATCCAAAGACTGAGCAATTCAATATGCCCAATGTACCATTCTTTTCAGATAACACGACCAGCTGTGTTAGACATTTCAGTATATGTCCCCAGTATGTATTAATCTATTAATTTGGCATCTTAAATATTTTTGGCTACTTCCCTTTTGTATCATATGAAGCGTCTCCTCTGAAATGTTCAAACAGATACCGTTTCAAAGAGAGTTATTACAGTGAATGAAGATGAGACAGAGGAGGAATTAAAGTGAGAGGAAATGAGACTGTGAGGAAAATTAGGTTGTGGGAGAGGAAAAAACCCACTGTAGTATATCCTTAAAAGCATATGTTGCGTGTCCCTTACAGTCGCAACAAAACCTTGACATTTATAGTATAACATTTTCAAAAGATACAATCTTGTCTTATTTCTCTACCAAGCTGTTACAAGGCCTATTGTGTAAGAATTAGAGCATAGTTTGGTTACAAAAGGGACTTCCCTATCTACACTAAGACAAAGACCACCTTTTTTGTTAAGTTTTAAAGAGAAAATCCTACATTTCTAGAGCTAAGTAAAATAACAAGTCAAGTCATCAGCAAGGAAGTTCCCCATTGCCTGCCAGTGAGTGTATATGAGTTCTGGGCAAATGGAATTATGTTAGGATTTCAAAAAATTTAAGAACGTTCAAGTTTTGCGGACTACATTATGTTTAGCAAAAGGAAAAGGTGTACCTATCATGTAGTATATCTGAAGCTTATTCAGTGTATGGTAATATTTTCTGATAACAGAAAGCAGGGCAGTAGCTCACCTTGGTTCCACTGAAAACTTCATTTACAATGCTTCGACATCCTTCTACAGCACCATCCCCATTAAACTCCAAAGCAACCACAGGGCCTAAAAAACAATTTCAGGTTTATTCCAAATGCTTTAGATTGCTCTCTTAAATGTAACATTCTTCATTCCTTATGAACCTTCATTCCATAAGCTTTCTTCATTCCTTGTGAAGCCTAAGTTTTACAATGGGCACCTAAAAAGTTTGCACAAGCAGTCACCATCATTCTGGACAAGGATTAAAGCTATGATTAACTGAGCTGTATAAATACAAGAGCTGTCCAAGAAAAAACAATTATCAGTCCATGTTGAAAAAGGAGCCGATACAGAAAACTGTATGGGCAGATTCCACTTTCATTTCTTCAGAAAACAGAACATTACAAAAAGACCAGAAAGTTATAATTTGAGCTGAAAAAGTTACAAGATGGAAGATGTCTGTTAGGAACAGAAACAGGCCAGGAAGGAATTTGTGCCTGGAGTACAACTTGGAACAAGCTAGCTATCACAGAGTATTAAACAGATCTCTTTCTGATATGGTTCTCTTCAAATTCTATAAAAACAGATGCGTTTAAAAATATCTATCTGAAGGCCAGAGTTCACATACTCACATAATGGCTATTATAAGTGTAGGACAAAGAGCAATATGAGCTTATTTTGGGTTACTGTTACTAGGACTAAAACATACACTTATGTTGAGCCATTTGCTAGGGTTGTATTGGATTTATACAAATGGAAATAGTTCAACACCCAGATACAAGTGTGAATGTATTATCTTTGTTTTTAAATACTTCAACTGTAGCCAACCACTATGGTTAATAATAAATTGGGATTCTATCTTGGTTTGCCCTTCAGAGTTCTGGCTTTTTTCCTCTTGAATTTCACATGCAAGATAACATGTGGGGGTGGTTCTCCAGCAGTGGTGATTCAACCTAGAAAGTCCAAGCACAGCTGATCTGTTTTGTGGGACAGTGGGCAACATGCTGTGTCCAACCTGTTGATCTTGTGGGACAACAAGTGACGTGTTCCCTGCTTGCAGAAATGCAGCACGGGTAGTCTCCAGGGCACACCTATGCTCCCAGGGCCAAAACCAACAATCATCTTATTACCTAGGACCACATCAGAGAGTGTCAACTGCATACCCAACAACCCCCAACAAGAGAACCTGGGCAGGGACTCCCATGGCTTCAGGGACCTGATCCCACACTCCCCAGGAATGGGAATTCTTGGGGTGCACAGGATCAGGCCTCTGAAGCCCCACAAGTGCTGTTGTCCACATTCTCTTGCCTTAAAAGCAAACAAACAATGGCTGCAAAATAGCATCACAAAAATCATACCACCTGTGTTGTGGCTGGAAATTTTGAGTATTTGTGGCACAAGGGGCATGGATATCCAATTGTTTTGCCTTAGTAAAAATGTTTATGGTGGCACAAAGGCAATGTCTGTTTACACCCTAAGAGCATACTCTACAGTTGTCTGAAATAAGGTGTTTAGGTCTGTTAGAGGCTTGCATATGCTACAAGCTGCATTAGATCATCTCGGAAGAATGCAGACTTCAGAAAGCCTACCTGCAAGGGTCAGGGAAGTATTCATTCATCACTTCAGAACCAGATAAATAACTCGATCTGAGCCAAAAGGCCAAGAAGCCCATATTAATTAAAAAAAAAAATCCAACAGTAGTCAGTCCAATGGGCTCCAACTGTGTCTAAGGGGCAAGAGAATGGATTTCTTTCCTCCCCTTTCCTCAGCCTTTGTCTGAGACAAGAGACTGACAAGGAGGGGGGAAAAAGTGAACATTAAGAAACTTTACCTTTTTCAAGCAATGGAATAAATTCAGATACACGCTGCTGAAAAACTCTTTGAGCATCCTCAGCTTTCACTGAAACTTCCTTAGTTTGAACCAATACAAAGCCTTTTCCAGTCATCTGTTTAAAAAAAACAAACAAAAAACCAAACCTGAATTAAAAATGTTTAATGCTGTTAAACATATATAGGGCCTTTTTTTGAACCTGGAGTCCAAATTATATGGTAGTATATTACCATACTATTCCCCTCAGAACATTAAATCACTAGATCAAAATGACAAGTTATTTTTCTTCAAATTCCAATATAAAATGCTTTCTTCACCTTCATACTTCCTTATCCTCTCACTCCATTCATCCAATTTTGGCTTCTATTCTTTTCTACCCAAAACTATTTGTTAATGTGATTTTTCCCACGCTAATTTCAGGATGCAAGACTTTGACTTTATACATGCTGGGTGCAGTCATTTTGCATATTGGCTTCTATTCTACCCAGGAAAGCACACAAAACACCAGCAAACTCTCCCTATGCATGAAGAAAGATGTTTGTGCCCAAAAGCTTGCAAAGAACAATTTTTCCAACTATTTAGTTGGTCTAATAAGAGATATCACATCTACCCAAAGAACGTTGTCTGCCTGGGTACAAGCAGATGCTAAAATTAACTGGAAGCAGGTGTTCATTGCCTTTAAAAGTTAGCAAGTTTCCCTTTGAGCAATAAACCTAGCTCATGGACCCTGCCTCCTCCTACTGCTTTATTTTACTATCGCAAGGAGTCAGAAAGCAGTTACCGAACCCACATTTCCAGCAGAAGTCTTAACTGGTGTCTTATGTTAAGGAGGACTACAAAAAGGAGTCCAAGAGTTCCAGTATTTCCACACTGGATGGAAAAGAATCAGTCATCTTGGAGGACTAGTTTAAACCAGTGGTGCTCAGCTTTTGGCCCAACAAGCCAGATGAGTGGCATGGGGCTAGTACACGAGCTAGATCAAGTTTCATGCCTCAACACTGGACCCTGGGGCCCAACACCACCCTCCCTCCCACAAGCCTGGGATCAGGCCCTGGGGCCCAGCCCCACCTGCTCCTGCCCCAGCATTCCAGGAGTAGGCTCTGGGAGACTACACTGCCCCTTCCTGAGCCCCCACACCAGGGTTAGGTCCTGGGGCCCCACACCACTCCTGCCCAGCCCTATGCACATGGGTGCATGATCCAACATATAGGGTCTGGGGCTCCCCAGAGGTCTGTAAATTTGGTGCCACCTCCCTGCAGGCTAGATGACAGCACTGCAGACCAGATCAGGCCCACAGGTCAGCAGCTGAGAACTGCTGGTTTAAGCAATATCTTGTTTTGGTATATCACTGTTCTCCCACAACCTGCCGTTCCATGAACTCCTTACAAATTCTTTTCTTGGGTAGCAATTATTTCTTGTAGGGGAAACGTTATTTTTCTAAAAAAATCTCTCTTTCCACTAAAAGAGATACAGAACATTAAGATATAACTGGAAGTTCAGATAAGCATGTCCTCAGGTCAGGTATCTCTGTGTGCACTTTAATTAGAGTGGTTCTTAATTAAAAGCACCTGATTGTCTTATACATCAGCATCCCCATGCTCAAAAGTGGCAGTGGGGGCACTTTAACTAAAGCTCATCGAATGAGCTTTAGTTAAAGCACCCTCACCATCATTTTTAAGCATGGGGACACTGATACATAATATGATGGAGTCTGCTAGAGTGTGGTAATTATCACGTTCCAGCAGACTTGATTATAGCGTGTCAGAGCAGCCTCATTGCTTGCGTATAGGTACCCATAGAGATCAAGCCTAGCTCACACATTTGTCCCTCCACTGGCACTATAGATAACTTGCTGCCTCTTCTTACAACGCAAGCCAGATTTATTTAATAATATTTTTTAAATCAAAAACAAAAGGATAAGGAATTTACCTAATAAAAGTGGGATTTACTTTAACATTTATCTTCCATGCATATGGAGTTTGAAGAGGAGCACTGTCCTAACAATATGCATAATGAAGCAGTCAGCTGTTCTTTCTATCAGGAACCTGCCTTTGCTGCTGATAATGTATGTAACATGGGCTGCATAGGGAGACTGATGTACTAGCATTTTCACTCTGCTGCACCTACTGTGGGGAACAAACAAACAAACAAACAAACAAACAAAAAACTTAGGGTAAAAAACAGGCACTGAATTTGTCTGGGGAGAAAGCCCTTTGTCTTGGGATCCTATGGACTTATAAACCTTTTGTCCCACTTAAGTACTTGTGAGGCATGCAAGATAAAAAAGTGTGCTAGTACTTTATCCCAGGACAATGGCTGTGTAGTCCCAGCTCAAACTACAACATGTGTAAAGGGCTGTCAGATCCCTTTGATTAGAGTCGAAACATGGGACAAATCAGAACTGCCTTAAGTGAGAGGTCTGTTCGTGCCCACAGGGCAACTGTGGTACACCCACATAGATCTCAAAACTCAATTATCAGTGATGTACCAAATAAACTGAACTCCTGCTCTCCTGGGACAGTCATAAGCACCTAAATCTGTAAAAAATGAATGTATGCAAAATATAGACCCAGGGAACTATAGGCCAGTTAGGCTTACCTCGATCCTGGGTAAGTTTTTTGACAGAATTATCATGGCGCATGTCCACGAAGGGCCAGCAGGGGAGGTTATGCTTAGGGGCAACCAACATGGGTTCGAGGCAGGTCCTGTCAGCCCAACCTGGTGGCCTTCTATGACCAGGTCACAAAATCCTTAGACGTAGGGGTAGCAGTGGACGTAGTCTTTCTGGACTTCAGGAAGGCCTTCAACACTGTGTCTCACCCCATTCTCATTAAAAAACTAGGGGACTGTGGCGTCGACACCTACACAGTCAAATAGGTCGTAACTGGCTGGAGGGCCCCACCCAGAGAGTGGTGGTGGACAGGTCTTATTCGACCTGGAGGGATGTGGGCAGTGGGGTCCCCCAGGGCTCGGTCTTTGGACCTGCACTGTTCAACATCTTCATCAGTGACTTGGACGAGGGGGTAAAAAGCACCCTATTCAAATTCGCTGATGACACTAAGTTGTGGAGGGACGTGGGCATGCTAGAAGGGAGGAATAGGTTGCAATTGGACCTAGACAGGTTACAGGGGTGGGCAGATAAGAACAGGATGGGTTTCAACACTGACAAGTACAAGGTGCTGCACCTGGAGGGGAAGAACCAGCAGCATACCTACCGGCTGGGGAACTCCCTTCTTGTCAGTGCAGAGGCAGAAAAGGATCTTGGAGTTATTATTGATGCCAAAATGAACATGGGTCGACAGCGTGGAAACATGGTTAGGAAGGCCAACCACACCTTGTCATGCATCCACAGATGCATCTTGAGCAGGTCCAAGGAGGTGACCCTCCCCCTCTATGCAACACTGGTCAGGCCACAGTTGGAGTACTGCGTCCAGTTCTGGGAGCCGCACTTCAGGAGGGATGTGGACAGCATTGAGAGGGTTCAGAGAAGGGCAACCGGGCAGGCCCTACGAGGGGAGGCTACGGGATCTGAACCTGTTCAGCCTCCACAAGAGAAGGCTGAGGGGGGGATCTAGTGGCCTGTTACAAACTAGTCAGAGGGGACCAGCAGATACTGGAGGAGTCCCTGTTCCCCCGAGCACTACCAGGTGTGACTAGAAATAACGGTCACAAGCTGGCAGAGGGTAGATTCAGACTAGACATCAGGAGGCGCTACTTCACAGTCAGGGCGGCTAGGATCTGGAACCAACTTCCAAGAGAAATGGTGCTGGCTCCTACCCTGGGGGTCTTTAAGAGGAGGCTAGATGAAAACCTTGCTGGGGTCGTTTGACCCCAGTGCTCTTTCCTGCCATGGCAGGGGGGCAGACTTGACGATCTGTCAGGGTCCCTTCTGACCCTACAAACTATGAAACTATAAGGTTGCCAAGTTTCAAAATGTTTCCAATGCAGCAAAACTACGTCCTAAAAACATGTGTTAGTAGACATTCAGAAGCAGGACACTAACTTCCCAATTTAGTTTGTCTGATATTGCAGGAAATGCAAAGCTTACTAAAGTTCAAGCTACAGCAGACAGAAAAAGGTTGCTTACTTCATCAATTAACTTTCTGGCATTTGCTGTTGTGTAGTCACCAGCAAACAATACGGCCAAACATGATTCATCACTGCTTTTCCGCCTTTGCCCCCTAGTTATTGGAATGATGCTCCTTGTGGCATCTGTAGAAATTCTGACTCCTTTCAGTTCTTCAGAAGTTGGCAGAGGGACAAAATCATGAACTGCAACATCTTCAGGCAGAAGACTCCAATTGTTTTCTCCTGACACAGGTGTGAAGTCATGGATGTTGCTCCACGTGTTATTGAAGATACTAAGGCCTGCATCTTTGAACTGTAGAGCCAGCTCTGGATAGTAGTACTGGAAACAGCCAAATTTCATGCCTGTGGAAGACTCAATAATGGGTTGGGTAGCACAGCACAAGAACACCTCTAACTTTCTGCAGTCCCGGGTGCGAAACTGTTGGCAGGCTACTATGCACTTACAGTCTTTGCAGTCACGGAAAAACACACTGCCTTTTATGGGTCCTAAAAAGATTCGGCAGTTTGTACAGTCATCAATAGTGATGGTAGCAGAATGATCAAAGATGTAGATGTTACAGTTCTCACACTCTTGAAGGACAAATTGTTGTCCTGCAACTTTTCCAGGTAAGCGGCCCACAGTTTCATCTTTAAGTCCAGAAAACATATAGTCTTTCGGATCAACCTAGAAATTAAAAAACAGAGTTAATTTAGCTTTATAAAGAATAACACAGTAGTTGGTATTAAAAATCTCCCTCCCCCACACTAGTTAGCTTCAATAGGAAGAGACCGAAGTGTCATGGAATTGTTCAGGACTCGCATATTGAGAAGAGACCTGTGTCTCAGACTTTGTTCAAGATGGAAAGCAGAATGATGATCTTTTAGTTAGTACCCTGAGAAAAGATTACTGGTTTCAATTCCTGGCCGATGCTCAGTAAGACACCCTGCACAACCCTGCAACAGCCTGCAAATGAGTTCTTCATCTAAAATTAAAATAGTTACCCCTCCTTCCCTTCCATTTGTGAAAGAAACTGTTAGGTCTTTCAGAAAGGTCTCATCTCATGATATTTTTGTACAATGGTCTCCCACGTCCTGCTGTGATATAAGTTATTAGCAATGAATGACTAACATCCTCTGAACACCCTAGGTTGCTGTCTTTGACCTTGTCATCTTTCTTCGTCATTACCTTGCCCACCTCTCCCCTAATACTCTAAAAAAAAGCTATGTATAACACCGGCCTTTGTAAAGTTTGTTAACAAGTTGCCTTTCCAGACTGTAATATTACTAAACAGACCTGCAATGTAAGGCATGGCCCTCTTCCTAGGTTAATATATGCTCTGGTATTCTTGAAGTAACTGCCATTATAGTGGCCATGCACTAGCAACATTCATTTACCCTGCTCTATATCTTGCTTTAACTGACACCAAAACCAAGCATTGCTGTGCAAGGTCACCTGACCACCCTATATAAAAAACAAACATTAGAAATCTGTTGATCTCTGCAGACAGGACTTCTTATACAATAAAAATAACTAGTCAGCCATTATTTATTCTTTAGAAGAGAGCTTGAGTAGAGAGAGTGAGCAAATAGAAAAAGCATGCTACCAGGGGTCAACAACCTGTAGGCCTCTGGGTATGAATGTGGTCCAAGAAGATGCGACTTAGCTCAGGCCAGCACAGGTTTGTGCAAAGGCAGCTGTGCTGAGCCACCCAACCCCTCCACAGCCCTCCCTGCCTATGCTTACCCAGCCTCTCTTCAACACACCTGCAGAAAAATTAAGTGCAGACATCTTGGACATTCCCAGGGGTGAAGATTTGCAACCTGCAGAGCCAAAAGCTTCTGCATCCAGTAGCAAAAAGGGTTCCAAGTCCTACACTATACTATGTTCTACGCAAAATATTCAGTTTGGAAGAAATAAGAAAATTAAAAATTTCCAAAATAACTTCAACTCTGCCCTTTTCTGTGAGCACATTAAGATAGCATCTTACAACACCTAACACAGGGATATCTAACATTACACATACAGTCTTACACGTGCAAGAACACTTCAGAAAACTGCTATTTTCTGTCCCCGTAAAACCGGGTCAATCTGACAGCCTTCAAGAATTTTTGAAAGCCAATAAGAGGGAGAGACTTGCATGGTCAGATTTATGACTAATAAATCCCATTTTCCAACCCTCCAACAGTAATGCTCTAAAAATGCACACAAGGTTATGTAAAAAATGTGAGCAAGAATGCAACAGATATGAGCAAGCCTAAGACTCACAAATGTGTTTTGCAGAGTATCCTTCTGCCCCACTCCAACCTTCCTCTTTGGACAGTTTGAATGATTTACCCTGACTCGGCATTATCAAATTATTGAAGTCTTCGTGATGAATAAAGAAAAAAACTATTTCCTCATGTGTAAACAAACAAATAAACAAACAAACAAAAACTAAAGGGAAAAAGTTAGTTAGATGGGGTTTTAAACAGTCACTGAGAAGTATGTTTATAGCACTTAAAGGAGAAGCAACAAGTTGGCCAGATATTGTAAGCCGGGAAGAGACTCCTGAGTTAGAGGCAGCCATAACTGGTACATGTCCACATGACAGCATGGGATGGAGCATGCACAACTGAAGCTCCCAGACACTGAATGCTGCCAAAGCCCCATATCTTTGGTCCAGATACAATGATTCCATGAGCCATAAGTTTCCTGTTTAAACCATACTGCCAGGCTTTAAGAAAGGCCACTCTACAACAAGAATAGCCTTACTTTCAGAATACTGAAAGCCCTTTGGGGCAAGGATTGTATTCTATTTGCACAGAGCTTTGTACCAAGGGACTCATTTAGCTGACCAGCAGCTATACATGTAGCTGCGTAGACCCCGCACAGCCTCCTAGAGAAGCCAAAGGAGTGGAAATGAGCAAAGCGAATCATACCTTGATCCTTGCCACAATGGTACAGAAGCATTATCAACTAGCCTAGCTGACTTCTGCACGCTTACATTACAGTAATTCTACACATCAGGAAAGCCCTTTCATCAGGAAAGAAATAGATGTAGACTAGGGATGTCAAACTCACCCCCTGCCCCAGGCTGGATCTGGATTGCAGGGCATCTTGTGGGCCAAATTCAGCTCAGAACACTGAGTGGCTCTGACAGCAGCAGTTCCAGCTCCCACCTGATGACAAGCATTTCAGGCCAGGGTGGCAGCTCTGACACAGAGTACATGGTAGCAACAGCTCCAGTTACAGCACACACAGGCAGGGCTGGGGCTGCAGTGATGACTATGGGCAAAGTGGCCAGAGGGTAACCTAAGCTATGTCAGCCCTCACTCACCTCCTGATCCCAATCACCATGTCCACAAATTCTGCAGTAGGCCACTCCCTCTAACCCCAAAACCATGTCCCCCAACTACCAGTAGCCTGTTGGTAACCCAGCTTTGCAGATCTGGCCTGCGGGCCAAATGTTTGACACCCCTGACCTACACCAGAGAGACCCATCTCAGACATTTTTTCCGAAATGCACAACGGCAGTCTACCCACTACTACTGCAACCAAAGAAAAACATGAAAAAGGTATGAGAAGAGATGACCATGATGGATGCAGTGCAGGAGAAGAGGACACACTATGATGCACAGCATGTTACAGTTTCAAATTTAAAATTCTGGGCAGGTTTGGTAAGAATATTATTTTAAGTGCACTAGAGGGCAGCAAAGGACTTGCAAGATTCATTGAAAGAAGTAATCAAAACCATGTTAATCCATCAGAAGACATCAAGTAAAATATTCTGGATCACTTTGGGAGAAAAATTTTATTGCTTAAAAATAGAGCATGTAGTAACAAAGATGTTTCTCCTAAAAATGGGAAGATGGAAGTTATGACTGCTGCTATTTATCCTGAGCCTATGCCCATAAATTGGCTTACAAAAAAACCCAGCTTTCAGAATTTCTGTTATTTTGGTCTGTTCTGAAACGTCATTAAATTGTGTGAAAATACATACTTCAATATACTCTTTTTTGTTCTAGTTTCACACAGGTCTTTTACAAGCATGTGATAGCTGACTGACCTACCAGTTATACACTGGCATCAGCTGACAGGAACTTACAGGAAATGCATCTCAATCACTTAGTCATGATCAGGCAGCCTTCTGTATGCGTTACAACTGAACGAACAGCCAGTTTACACATTTCCTGACTCGAGTGCCCAACTGTGCTTCTTAATATAGGAATCTTAAATACAAGAACCATACAGCCATAGAACATTGTTGCGACTTAAATTAAACTTGATTTTATTTTGTCACGGCCCTGAGAAATTTGTCAATTCCTATTACAAAAATATTGCAGAGCAAAAAACCCCATATAGACAGAGAATTAGCTTTACTCAAACTTGAATAAGTGAAACATCCTGCACAGAATTTTTATTTTATGACAAAGATTAGCTTTTGCCCCTGCAAAAATTTCAACATCTTCTGAGACACCGAAGGCAGCCTGGAGAACAAGTGTATTAGCAATTAAAATGAATGCTTTCTGTAAACAAGTAGTTTTGTGGGAGGAAAAAACTATATTAAAAAGTTTAAAATAAACCTCAGATGGAAAGAAGCTAGCAAAAGCTAAAATTTGTTAGTTAAAAAAAAATTCCCGATTTTTCTAAGTTATCTTTAAAAAGGGTTACTACTACAGATATCTGAAGTTTCTCTAAAAAGAAGCTTACATGCAAGCTATATAGGAGAAGCTGTAAGACTATACAAAATGCTGCCACATGCAAAAAGCAAAATTAAGGAAATTTTCACAACTTTCCTATTATAAAAGATTTTTGTAACAGCAGGAAGTTAGATATTCAGAAGTGCTGACCAAGCAATGTTAAGAAAAAAAAGTCTGTCCAGAATACACACACTAACGAAAACATTAGGCCATTCAGCAGAGGCTCATGCATAATTTGGTTTCCTCACCACTCAAAATTCTGATGCGAGGTCCAACAGGTTTTGATTTAGCAGCAACCTTGATTTAGCAGCTGTTGAACACAACTGTCACTAACCAATTAAAATTAAATGGTCAAATCCATCTTGAACCTGGCAACAACTTAGCAGTAGTTACCTATTCAATAGCAAATCAAGCTTGGGGAGAGAGGGGATACACAGACTTAAAATTAAGCCTTACACACTTGACCCACTCGTTTGTACCCGGGTCTATGCCAGGAATAGAAGTGTCATAGGTCAATCATCCAATAGGGTGAAACAGATGAGAATTTCATCCATAACAGCATTTCAATATCTAAACAGGGATTTTTTAAGAGCTATGCCACAGGTTTCCCCATCCTTTGCGTGTTGGATCGTGTTAGCAGGCAACTCTATGAGATGGGAATTTCTAGTATGTTAAGTACATGCCACTGTAAGATGCCTTTTGTACTACTTTTGCCAGCAGGAAGCTAAAGAGGGAGAAGAATGAAGGCAAGGCCTGTAGAGAGAGGTTATTTAATGTTGCTATGTTTTGGCAGTGCTGTCTCTGTCTACCTGTGGATCCAGGCACTTCTGGGATTGCAAGCTGACACGTCTGTTAATGCAACCCAATATGTTGTTAGCTTTTTGGCAACAAAAGCACACTGCTGGCTCATATGCAGCTTATGGTCTACTGCAGGGGTGGGCAAAATAAGGCCTAGGGGCCAGATGCAGCCTGCCAGGCCATTCTATCTGGCCCGTGGGGCCCCTA